AGGTTAAGTAAGGGGCAGGAATGAAACCTAAAGTTCCATGGGGGAAATTGACAGCTGACAGGGGTAAATCCTTGGTTCCATTGGCCAACAGCAAGGAGTGCAGTCTGAGGACCATATCAGTAGATGTCTGACTGCAGCCCTCACTACCAGCTGTGGGGCAAAGGCACACAACCCAACTGCAACTCACAATGCAAGCCAAAGGACAGGGAACACCACCGTCCTGCTTCCAGCCCTGACTTCACTTCCTAAGGTCCTATAAAGAAGGGCTTGTATGGGCAAGCTGCTAGCTGGACAAGAGACTTTTTTTTTTTTAATCTGAGCATCTGCAGATGGCTGCTCGCAGCTCCCAGTGACCACAGTATACCATTCCCAACCAATGGGAGCTGTGAAAAGTGGTGTAGGTAGGCCACCACTTCCTGCAGCTCCCATTGGCCAGGAAAGGTCAATCTCAGCCACTGGGAGCTACCAGTGACTGTACCTGTGGATGCTCATGTAAACCAAGTGTCTTGTGGCCCGCTAGCAGCTTACCTTTACAAGCTGTGACCCAAAGTTTGAAAACCCCTCCTATAAAGTCACAGACTCCATGACTGTTGAGACTAAATCACAGACTTAGTAATGATTAATCAAATCCTCAGTTCCTCATCCTATGGGTGGGGTGCTGTTGCCCCTCACCAAGTTTTAGAACAGAGGTCCCAAAAATGTGGAGTGTGCCCCCAAGGGAGAGAAAGACTATTTGGAAGGTGCATGATGGGGCCCAGGCCAACCCACTCAATTCTGCATTGGCCCCAGTCATGGCTTCACTCCCAGCCCTGGCTTTAGCCTCCCAATCATAACCCTAGGCCCCATTTCTGCTCTCCATCTACAGTCCCACTCAGCCTCGGTCTATCCCTTCCAGCCATGGCTCAGTCAGCAGCAACCTCAGTCCCTGACCCCTGTCTGTGCTTCCTATAGACGCCAAGGCCTTGCTCCCGGCTCCCGAGAAGGGTATGGATAAGGGTTTACTGGGGGCACAATAGTGAGAAGATGGAGGATCACTGCTTTAGAATTTGGAGTCCATAAGGCTTTGTGGTCAAATCAGGATCATTTGTCTTTCTTGCCTGGATGCTGTCTCGTAGTCTCTAACTATGGCCTCAGTCAGATGATGGTCTGTCCAAGATTATGGCTGAACTGTAATGCCCTCTAACTTCATATGAAGGACAAAGATCAGGTTCAGGATATAAAGAGGCTGAAAGACTCCTTTTCTGGAATACAGGAAGTCCCCGACTTACACGGATCCGACTTAAGTCGGATCCGCACTTACGAACGGGGCTTTCTCGCCCCGGAGGTCGAGGTAGCGGATTGCTACCTGCGAATAATGTTCTGGAAGAAGAGCATTTTATAGTCCTTTTGGTGTGTGGGGAGATAACTTTCTCTCTAATGTGGATATTATAAAACTTAACTAATAATGTTTCCCTTCATTCCATAGGCCATTAAGAGTCCAATTCATTATGTACTGTAGGCCTTTTGAGAACTGACAGCTGCACTATAATTATCTTCACATGGCTATTTGTAATTGGACTTGAAACTTGATAATTGAACTAATGTGTTGTGATCCAGGAGGTTTTATGTTGAGCTCTCTGAATATAATTGTACTTCTGAAATGCCACCCCCATTTTTTCTGCTATCTGCTTTCTGTCTCATGAAGATTGGTTTTGTCAGAGGATGGATACACAATTCTAAACATTCAAGAAAGTCAGTTGTCAGGAGTAAAAGCAGAGTTTGGGGGGTTTTGTTTGTTTTTTTGAACATGAGAATGGCACAGTATTCTGTCTTCAACAGTGGCCAGTGCCAAATGCCCCAGAGGAAATTAACAGAACAGTTAATCATTTAATTATCTATCCCTTGTCTCCCATTCTCAGCCCTGACAAATAGAGGCTAGGGGCACCATCCCTTTCCATTCTGGATAATAGCTATTGTCGGACCTATCTTCCATGAATTTATCTAGTTCTTTTTTAACACCATTTAAGGCTTGTCCTTCACAATATCCTCTGGCAGGGAGTTCCACAAGGTGATTGTGCATTATGTGAAGAAATACATCCTTTGTTTGTTTAAAACCTGCTGCCTATTCATTTCATTTGGTAAGATTAGGTTCTTGTGTTATGGGAAGGACTTTTCCTTACAGGCAGTCCCCGGGTTACGTACAAGATAGGGACTGTAGGTTTGTTCTTAAGTTGAATCTGTATGTAAGTCGGAACTGGCGTCCAGATTCGGCCGCTGCTGAAGCTGATCAGTTTCAACAGTGGGTGAATCTTGACGCCAGTTCTGACTTACATACAGATTCAACTTAAGAACAAACCTACAGTCCCTATCTTGTACGTAACCCGGGGACTGCCTGTATTCCTTCAAGGTTCCAAGAATTTCTGCTTGAAAACGAAATCCTGCCCTGGCCTATGTGTGGTATAAGGCTGCCTCCTTCACTGTTTTCTTCAGCTGATAGGAGTATACACACCTGCTGCTAGGAAACCATGCTGGGATTTTACAATGCAGAGCACCATCTGCATTTGTGATGATGAATTCAGAGTCTCTGAAGAGATCTTCAAATGGTTGTCTGCACATCTCCAACCACACAATTTTGAAGACCTAGACAGAAGTTGCCATGTATCTAGCTGTGGTACTGGATGCATCAAAAGGGGCCTGGAAAGATGACAATCAAATGTCCCTCTTTCTTGTTCTCCTGAAGAGAGTTATTAGCAAAGTCTAAGACAGTGCATCAGTTCAAGTAATTCTATCTTACTAACAAAGGGCTAATAGCATTTTTTTAATTGCAGGCTAACTGATCAGTAATTTGAGACACTTTGGCCTCCTGTCTTTTCATGTAATTTTTGGTTTCTACTTTCTATTTTCCTCATTGGCCACCATGACCCCAAACTGAACCCAATACGTCAAGTATTATGGGTACTATCTTCCACCTACAAATACCTAATACAGTTTATTTGACTTCTCAGATGTCAGTGAAACGGATGCTTGAGTCTCCCAGATATCCTCTGGCAGTTCCAACCAGGCTTCACATATAGACCACCCCTGCGGACTAGACATGGGAGTAGATCTAACAGCTTGCTGAAGCGCTCTTGTCCCACCTTCACAGGAGTTTCTATTCAACTTTGTGTATGGTGGATCAAGTCCTGACAATTTGGTAATTGGTTGAGAGGGAGCTGAAGAATCCATGGTCTTACTTGGTAATGAAGAAGCAGCAGCCACAGAAGGACCGAATTCCCATGGAAGGATGTTTTTTTTTTTAAATACCCCAGCTGTGCTTAGTGTATTGTAATACAGTTTGAGTACTTTTAGATGGTAGAGAATTAGTCCATACCACTGGAAAATATTTCCCCTTGAATAAGAAAAATAACTATATCTATCACTCCTCAATGTACTTCAGTCCGAATCCTTGCACACACAGAAGTATCTACAAGGAAAATAGCATTGAGATGTGGATATTGCCAAAGTTTCATTTCACAGTTGCAAGGAATAAGAAAGAAATTAGAGGAGGCTGAACCTACTTCAACTTTAAGCCTGTGGACTGGGCAGAGGTACATTGAATGTGTATAATAAACGGTACCAGTAGATTCTGCTGGCCAAAAGACAAGCACATGTATAACAAGAGTGGATTATGTATGGACAAGAACTTCAACAATGGATTTAGTCACATTTAAACAATTGAAAGGTACATTCATCTTTCCCTGCTAAGGTATATACACTTACTTGATTTGCTCTTTCCAGAATGTTGATCAGTTCAGAAGCAATCCTCCAGTCATTCCTAGTGACAAGTGTTACTGCCTCCCCTGTGCGTCTGAGAGAAAAATACATTGTTACTCCTTAAGAGGAAAAAAACATGTTGCTGGACATTTCCTACCTGTATATACTTGAATGGCAACAGAACTGACTTTAGAAGATACTGCTGTACCTATAGCAGAAGAAAAAAAGGGTATCTGATGCCAACCTATTTTGAAGGAGATTAAATGTCTGTTTAGAAACAAAGTGCAGAACTTCAGCTAACTTAGAAAAAAGGGCATAAGAAGCTAAATGTATGCAAGGACAGGAGAAAGTCAGAAGCTCGAAGTATTGAGATTTCAGACATAACTTTGCAATTTGTAAATTAAGTTCTTATTAACAGAACTAGTGGAAAAGGCTAGACTCCTCCTCAGTGATATGGCCTTTATGTAAACTGATTTATTGCTACTCTGTTAACATCTTTAGACTTGGTCATTAAATTAGTTTTATAAAAAAATAAATTAATTTCTAAATATGGAAATTAATCAACCACTTTGAAACAAGTTAGCAATTAGTACATCACTAATTAACACTAATTTGAAGCCTTCTAGGAAAACTGAACACCGAACACAATAAACCAAACTCAGAAAAGCACATAATGGTTCCACAAGTTAAGTAACTTCATACATTGCAACAGCTGCCTACGTATTTTTATTCTGTCTGGTCTGAAATGATCTATTCCCTTCTCCTAACAAATTACTCCAGTCAGAAGCAGGAATAATCTACCGGGGAAACAATCACAGGGGGAAAACATGGTAATGAATCCATAAACAGTAGTACAACAATCCTGCCTCTTTCCTGCCCTAGTCAGAGCTATTATATGAGAATCTCGCAACTTGTAGAATCGCTATTTGTGGTTCCGCATATATGTGGGTGTATCCTGGCCTGGAGGGCCCAGCCCCTTGGTAAGTTCTCTGCGGCTCTGGCCCTCTCCCACGGTGAGTTTGGAAGCTGTGGGAAGCTCACCACAGGGGCTGTGAGCTGCAAATCCCAGTATTCATGAATTTTGCCATTCATGGTGGTGCCAGGATGCATCCACCATGAATGGAGAGAGTTTCCTGTACTTTTATATTTTATGGTGTATCCTTTCTACTGGCCCTGAAGCCAAAACAGATAACAGACAATGTCTGAGCAATTTACAATAGCTCTAAGGCACAACCAGTGATTGGTGCCTTCTTGTGTAGCTAATTATTGGTTTTCAGAATTTGGCCCAATGTTTGTGTGTCTTTCCAGTATGGCTTTTCCCCACAGAATGGATTTTTTGTGCATAAGTTTTCAAGGGAAACATTTACTGTCACACTGTCTGGGCTAGGAAGAGACTGGGTTTCCCTTTGTTTCATCTATAGACTCTGGAAAATGTTTTGTAGCTTCATAGCAACTGCAATAGATTGGTATAGTTTTTTTTAAAAAGTCTGCAGCTATGCATAAGATCTGGCAATCTGCTGCTGAACAATTTTTCTATCTTTTAGATTTTTAAATATCTTCAGATAGCATCAGAAACATATATACATTCAAAGAGCTGACTCTTGCATCCCATCCACATTAGGCAGATGTTTTACATTCTTATGCCTTGTCCATAAGTAAAATTTGCAATAAGATCATACTTCTATGACTTAATAGCAATAGTTCTGCATTAAATGTTCCCTAAACACTCTTTTACTAACCACTTAAGAGTTTCATCTATAGATCTCACAGTACTCTACATAATGGGGTAGATCATTCCCATTTTACAAATGGGAAAATGGAGGCACAGAGGTTAAGTGCAACTTCAGTTGAAGAGCAACTGAATGGCAAAACTGAAATCAGAAGTCTGGTCCTAGCCCATGTCTCATCTACTGGACTGTGCTGCAAGACACATTGATCACTTCCAAACTTTTTTTTTACCTCCTCTTATTGTTGGAGAACTTCATTTATGAAATTTGTAGTATGAACATCTAATATTCAAGTCTGAACAGTCAGTTTTCAATCTGCTTAATACTACGTTAAAAGAATAAAGTTTACATAGTAAAATGACTTTTCTGACACCGAAGTACTATAGGCATATGCATCAATAGCTTTAAAGCAATGCAATTTCCACATATAAAGAGATACAAAATAAATGTATATTCCATATCTGTAAGAACAAACCTGTACATTAAAATGAACCCCCCAGAATGAAATCCAAGAAAAAAGAAGTTACTCACCCTGTGAAGTAACGATTGTTCTTCAAGATGTGCCCCGTGGGTGCTCCACTCTAGGTGTCGGGTCCCGTCCCGGCGCCGCGGCTCGGAGACTTTTCATAGCCGTGCTCCGCCGGCTCGCGCATGCGTAGTTCACCAGGATAGCGTTCGCTTCTTTGATCAGCCGTGCATGAGCCAGCAACCGTCAGTTCCTCTCAACCC